AATCCGGAAGGACACTGCACGGGTCATCAAAAACATCAGTGGTGTTCAAGGCCGCGGCTCTGGGATTTTCCCGATCTGGAGGCCCACGGTGATACCTCCAGCGTTCATCTTCTCTTCCAACAGCTTCAACTTCGGTGACATTCCATTGCCCCTCACAGACTCCATACCCCGATGTGCAAGCGTCAGTGATTAAGGGCGAAGCGTCCCATCTGGAAAAGATGTCTGCCTGTCCAAGGACCATAAGATTGCGGAACAACTCCAGTTCGTGTATGACGCTGTCCCAAAGCCTCGTCCTTCGGTGGTAATTCGAGCGGATGAACACATAGGAGTGCCTGAGGATGCTCATTAGCCCTCTGTGCAACAAAGCCCTGACCGTCATGTGACCCACCAGAACTTCCAGCTCGGCACCAGAAAGACACGGGGCAGCACAGCAAGCCAGCAGCGCTCTATCCAGCCTCCAGTCCCTCTTTGGAGTAGTCTCGACCTTTCCGTTCAAGCCGTCCACTCGCACCCCCAAGCTTTCACACAGACTGCAACCATGCACAATATCATGAGTGGCCAGACCATGCCTGTGAAGTTCTTCCATGACACGCTCTTGATCCCGATTTACCTGGCCCAGGTCAACGCCGAGATGGTTGTTATTGTCAGCATATATGAGCATAGCTGTTTGGCACTCCCCATCGGCACGACCCATGCGCACTGCTGGCCTCCGGTCCTTGACCAGCAGGCTGTCCGGCAATACGCGACGCGCCACCTCCATGTGCGCCTGATGTGCGAGATGGAAGGCCCAACTGAATCCCATCGGCAACACTGTCAGGAACGGGTAGTAGGGCCCTTCGTGCCTGTCGGCGAGTGCTTGGAGCTCCTCCGGCATGTATCCAAGGCACTCCTGCAGCAAGAGGGTCGACCATCGGGAGCGCAAAATACTCCCCCAGCTTCTGATCTATACGAAGTCTGTAGAAGAAATCCTTTACGTCCTCCTGCGCCATGAAAAGTGTCTCCCCTTGACTGCACTCCAACCTCGCCCAACTCTCTATGGATCCCAGGTTTGTGCTAGGCGGAGTCCTAAAAAGCCTATTTGTGCGGCGAGCATCCACGATCAGCCGCTGGCGATCACCCTTCTTCGTGACCACGAATGCTCCCACCTGCACCCTTGGCGTCACCGTGAACCCCACAAGCTTGCAATCGTACAGGTCCGCAACAAATTCATGATACCGTCGTGGATTATGTGCCAAAACCGGATCTATGTGCCGTAGACCATCCAACCCCCTTTCCAGCACCCCAGCAATCTCCTCATCGCCCAACATCATCTCATCGGCAAAGTTCTGGAGCTGGTGCCTTTCACGCGGGGGGAGGATATCAGTGAGCCGAACTGGTTCACCCTGTCCCCGTGGTAGGGATAGCCGCTCTCGCGCATAGGAGGCAAGTTGCCCCGGCTGGTCAGATGAGTATGTCCCAGCCTTCTTACGCAGCAGCTGCCGAAGCGCTGCCTGCGGAGATTCTTGCACCGCGGGGGGGGCTCTATCCTTGTGTGCCCGCCTGATCCGCGAATTGATGTGCCGCTGCGCCGCATTCAAATGCGACAACGGCCATGTGCTTGCATCTGAAAAACCTGCCAAATTGTTAAGGGCCCAAACCGTGCCCCGCTCACGATCCATCAAAGTCCTCCTTCGATGCACCCTCTGTCTTGAGCGACGCGAAGCCAGACCACTTTCACACCCGGCAAAACCATCGTCAACAGGTAAGGGTAAGGGGAAAACATCGCCAAACCTGCTCAACGGCTCTTTGGAAAATTCACTGGTGCTAAAACCATTGCGGACAGAAGCAGCGGCACCCTCGCCACCTCCGCCCTCCGCCTCCTCAGGGGGCGGCTCCACCTTGACCACCCTTGCCTTCGCCTTTTCCCTTCTTGTCCGGCTTGTTCGGAGGATTTGGTGGACCATCAGGTCGCTGCCGAAGATGCTTTCGTTCCTCTGCAGCCAACCTGTTCTGCTTTAGGATCTCGGCTCGTGCTGCTTGTCGCTTTGCCGCGTGCTGCGTCAAGGCCGGGTCGATAACTGAACCGTCCGTGGCTTCACGGACACCAAGTATCTCGTCCGATCCCTCGTAGGAGGGGGCATCCGGACGACCTTGATGAGCTACCTCGATCAGTGCCCTTCTGCGGTTCAAAGCCTCGGCAGAAGCTAATGATGGTAGGTTCAGCTGGTCGTACGATGCCATGAAGTTCAATGCTCTGCAAATGGACGAATGCTCATGCACACTGCGATCCGTACCACGAACTCCTGATTTTCGGACCCAGCTTTCGTGGTGTTGCACAAAGTCAAAACCCAGCCTCCTGAGCTGTCTGATGTCCCTGTAAACCGTCCGGGGTCCAGTGAGCGGGAAATCGTCATACTCAATTTCCTCGTACTCAGGGAACGCCTCCGTCAAAGTACGCCATCTCTCATCAGATGCGTCAAACATGACAGGAAGTACCCTCACATCCCTTTCAGCTGCCTGGACATCTCCAGCCCTTGGCCTGAGAGCGCTGCTGACCTCTGGAGCAACTTCAGCGGCCACCTTCCGCGCTAGCAGGGTGCGGCCTCCTGATACAAAAAGCTTGTAATCAAGACCACCCACTTGTAGCAAAGGCGAGGAGGCCGGACAAGTCACCTGATCACCGACATTCTCCCCATCAGAGCTGTACACCACGATCCACACGAAGTCCGAGACCTCTCTCTCATGGACCGCCGCCTCCATTCCAGTAGCCCTGACCGGATGCCTTTGACCATCCGAGTCCAGCTTGCCAGTAATGCGATGACGGGGCCGACGTGTGTCATCTGCCTCTGCCTTCTTTATCAGCTCCAGCAACTCTTGCCTAGTAAAGGCACCTTGATCCGAATGCTTGGCCATGTAGGTCTCATTCTCGTCAACACCCTGGGGCAGCCGACCATTATGAACACGCCTTATGTCTTGATACACCTGACCTACCTCCAGGATCGTGTCCTGAATCTCCCGGTCAGGGGTGGCTACTTTCACATGATTGCCCTCAGAGCAATGCAGAACTATTCTCTGATGATACAGGGCTGGGTCTTCCTCGAAGACCACGAGCACGGAGTCTAGCGGCAGCCAGTTCCTTGCCATCCTTTGGCACAGAAGCCAAGGTCTCACTCTCGGCGACCCACTGCGGTGCCTCCAATGCCAGTCCTTGACCCGAGTGCCCGGGTGTCACACCGCGGTGCCACGAAGAAATTGTAGCGGAAAGAAAACCGCCCAGCAGGAAACTCAGCAGAATGCTCAGGAACCAAAGCACAAGTTCAATCCAGAATCGCTGGCTTCGATAAGCCTCTAATTCCAGAATGGAAAGCTCTGCCTCAGCAAGCCTGTCTCGACACTTCCTAGCCTGAGCCTCCCAGTAGTCCCTCTGATCAGAACAGATCCAGGTGGCCTCTTGACCGTTCTCTTTGCAGCTGACAGGATGCTTCGACTCGCCCCAAGCAGCAACCACAAAACGCAAGGCCTCCACTAGAACTCCCTTGCAAAGCTCGCGCCAGGCGACCATGTCCTACTCCTTCCCCTGGAATTCTTGAGCCAGATGGGTAGCTGAGAGTGGCGGACAGGCTGCTGTTGTTGACCTCGCTCATTCTCCTCAAAATGATCTCGCAAAGCCAAGCCGTTGGAATATTATCCTCTCTCAGTTGCATAATTTCCATGCTGTTGGGATAGATTTGCCATGCAATACATGGAGCAGGGCTAGAAGAGCAGCGAGGTCATCCAAGATGCCCAGTGCCCTTCGGGGCAACAACGGTGACTCGATCATGGGGTTGCCGGATTTGTCTGTTCATGATCAAAAGAAGGTTGCGGATGCAAACAGCATGCTCTTTGGAGCTCTCAAGGTCATTCGCAGATGCTTACGCCTTCAGATCCCAGGGTATCTTGAGAATCCCCTCAGCTCCAGAGTCTGGCGTACCAAAGGCATGAAGCGTCTGCTACGTGACGGTAGGGTGCAATTGGTATCGCTGGACCAATGTCAGTATGGAACCCCATGGAAAAAGCCCACTCGATTGCTAGTGTGGCTGTGTCCCTCGTTCTGTATGCTGCGCTGTTCAGGAGCAAGATGCTGTTCACGAACGAGAAGGCCGCACATCCAGCTCAGTGGAATAATAGGCAAGCGTTTCGTTACAGAGCAAGCTCAAGTGTACACTCCAGAACTTGCGAGGGCCATTCTGCAGCAGCTGTGCCGATGACTCTGTTCTACATCCGCTCGAGCGCTACGGCATGTTCACTTGCTGTCTCTGTCACAAAGCCCTCCCACGCCACCCTTAGAGCCATTTTGGACATGGGTTTGGGGAGTGTGTGTCAAAGACTTTGAAGTGTTGGCGCATCGTTGCGCTGGCATTTCTTTCAGCAGTCGCTCAGCTCGCGTGGCAGAGCTCCTACTACAAACAGATGTTCGGCGTGAACACACAAAAAGTGAGTGCCGAAGCATCGCTTGCACTAGGGAGCGTAGGGAGTCATATGAGCACTATTTGTGCAGTTTTGACGCATGTAGCGAATTTCTGGGGCATTCCCTCTCGAGAATTCCAGGGGCCCGCCCGCTCCACCGGAATTCTCGAGAGGGAATGCCCCAGAAATTCGCTACATGCGTCAAAACTGCACAAATAGTGCTCATAGGACTGTGCGGGCTGCGAGTGGCATTTTGGTGGCAGGGGTCGCCCCACTTCATCCTCACTGTCGTCCGGTTGCTCTGCAGAGTTGTTGGAAGGCCGCATTTCGTGTCGTGTGTTCGTGGAAGGGAAGCCTCGAGGCATCTGCTGCCCGACTTGGTTTCGACTACCCTGGGCCCAGCCTCGGGTGTGAGGCGGTTCCCCTTCTTTGCAGGGGAAGCAGACTCTGCCGCTACGAGTTTCTCGGCATGCATAACCAGCTTGGCAATGGAACATTGTCTCCCTGTCGATTCTTCTGCATGAAGTCAGAATGTTTGGACGGCATGTCAATGTTGCAACAGCGAGCTCAGACGCTCAGGTCAGCACAGCCAGAAATCCACCCAGGACGGCAGAAGCGCTGAAGGAGAGCGTGCGAAGTCTGAGTGGAAAAGTTCGTGGAATGCCACATGAAGGCTGGTCACCCCGCATGTAGTTCGACAATTCGCATATTCAAAACACAACCAACCGGGCTTGCATTCGAGGTGCGAGTTCAGGGCAGCCCATCTACTACGCCTCGCAAGGGCTGCAAGGAGTGGCTCCTACGTGGACGGGTCACCAAGCAGTTCTCCCCGTGGTATGCTGAGTATCCGACTGGCTCACCGGAACACAGTCCATTGTGATTGAGTACAGGACTGGGTCCCGTGCATGCAAACCTCATTCTTGCAGTGTCTGCTGGATCTAGTGGTAAGTTGCACCTCACCCTGCTTTGACATTCATGCTGAGAAATGGGCATGCAAAGCGCAAGAGGTAGCAGGCACAAGCCACCAGCCTTGCTGGGTTTATCGATACATGAGACTCGACACAGAGAGAAAACGGCTCAGCACCCCGCACAGGAGGATTGAACCAGTTGCCACCATAAATGCCGAGAGTTGCGACAGCAGACCCTGCCCGGCTCCCGACATGCACATGACGCCGGAGTTGACGCGACAATCTGTCCCCCACCCTGCCTATATGGAGCAGCAGTGCGAGGTTGCACCGACCCATCCAGACTGCACAGGACGACGCATAAGACTCAACTCAATCTAGAAATGACATGGAGTCAAGCGCCTGAAAGAGGCTTTCCAATTTGAGCGAAGGCCGCTATGAAAAGCCTCCGAAAGCAGCTTCTCTTCTCACAGCACAGTTGCGAAGCCAGTCACCAGTCACGCCCCGGCCTGCACACTGCATTCAGGATGCAGAGCCTTATTCTTCGGAGTCAGAGCTCAGCTCGAATCGCTCACAAGACTCATCACGTCATTGAGATACGCACTGCGCCGGGGTGAACCTGCCAAGAGGTCGCCGCAGAGGCCAACAACTGCGTGTAAGTTTCCGCCGCCTGAGCACCTGCGTGAAGTACAGCGCGAAGTACCGCACCGTCCTTAATAACCGAGGAACCCGTGAGAAGCGGCAACGAAGTTTTATTCACCTCCTCCACCTTTCGCATGCGGAATCCCCTGCCGAATCGGATTGCAGCGTATGATTGAGACACCTACATTCCATTGGCCAGCAGAGTCATAATGAAGAAGACATTCACAGACAAGGCGACGACCTTGCCATGCACTGGCGCCGACAAGACTCTCTGAAGCAAGCTGCAGTGGCTGCAGCGTAAGCTTAGCTGAAAGCGTCCTCTCTTCGAGAGCCGGGAGCTGGACGAAACGTCGCTTCAGTGATCCCAGGACTCGGTGCTCCAGCCAGGCCTCTGCCGCGCGCAATTCCGGCAAATCCCCGTTTGCGCCGCCTTCAAACCGGGTCCTCCCGGGCCTCACTGATCCTCTTGCGCATGTCGGGCGTGCGAGCCGACGACACTTCGTCCTCGGAGCGCGAAACATCGTGCTGCAGGTGCTGACGACTCGCTGCCCCGACTCTGGATCGCTGGGGTCCAAGACCGTGTTCGGGATGCTGCTGAGCTCCTCTCAAAGCTGGCCGGAAGGTGGCCACGTCAGACATGCACAAACGCCACTTCATCACAAACTTTGTGTCAATGTCCAAGTGCCTTCCCGACTGGAACCATGAAGGCAATGGAGAGTCCAATTAATGGCAATATCAGCCAACCTGGTGAACAAAGCTCTTTGACAACACATCTTGCTTCCAAGGACATGCGTGACGACTCCGGACTGACACAGGAAGGACAAGTCTCCGAGAAGGCAGACAATTAAGCAGGGTCACGAAGAAACAGTCCGGAGAGCCGCTCTTGACTTTGACTTGCTGAGCAGAATGTTGTTCAGTCTTTTCACAAGACTGAGCCCACACCTGGAAGTAGCAACAGCTCAAAGATGTCCGCCGTCCAACTGTCCTCACTTATTCAAAAAGATTTACCAGTAAAGATACAACGAAGGGTCAGTGAGGGGATGCTGACTCGCCGTTGCCCCGTCCTCGGCAGGACCGAACCAGACCACCTTGGCGCTCTCTAAGTGCGGCGGGACCCACTGCTCCTCCCTTGCAAACCTACAGGAAAGCTTGGCCCCCGTCCAGGAGCTGAATGCCTGGGCCCAGCGACATGGCCAGTGCCTCAGAATTCCGAATTCCAGACGTTCCTGTAGCCCAAAGCATGGCCGTTTCCAGGGAGCCACACAGAGAAGGTTTTGTAGTTCACCTCACGCCAAGTCCAAGCGTGCTCCATCAATTGCACACGAGATTTCGCCTATCGCTTGGACTCCCGCCCCGGCTCGCGTCCGGCGCTCCGCGCCCACATTGTCAGCCAAACAAGCATAGATTGTGGAGGATATCGTCTGTTGATACCTGAATAATTCGGTTCCAGATGAAACCGTCTCCAATGTAGAGCAGACGGCATGGAAGGCAAAAAAACACATGCCAGGCACCAAGTGAAGATGCAGATGCCCGTGAAGAGCAAGACAATGCTGGAGGTATACACAGCCATAACCATCGCGACCCCTGCTCGGGAACGTACAACCCTCGACTTGCACAGTGGATGTTTCAGCTCTAAAGGACAGCCGTGCCCCGGAAGGCAACCGCAAACAGCTCTACTCGGATGAGGCCTGACAGAACAGCCACAAGCAGATTTCCTCGTAACAAGAAATAACCTGAGTTGCGGCACAGACAGAAAGCGAGAGGCGCCACAGCATGAACCCGAGCAGAATTGAAAAGATGACCTCTTGTATCGAAGCGATGCTAATGCTGATGGCCAAAGAACGATTAGTTTTGTCGCCGATCCAACCAATCGGATACCTCATACCAACTGCAGTGCTGCAGCAACACCACAACTTCACGAGCTGCATGCTCATCCAAGAACTTCCACCAAGCAGCATAAGCAGCATCGACCTCACATCATGACATAATGAAGACTCGCACGTCCTCCTCACTTGTCGGTTGTCCACAACATGATCTCCAAAGGGCGGGACAAAATGCCTTGGGCACTGTTTGCCAATCCCACGAACAAATTTGATGCAGGCTTGCCATATCTGACCTTGGCCCAGCAATTATCATGTCTGTGACAGAACCTTGCACCTTGCCGTGTATCCGATGCAACAGCCCTCTTCAAGCGCACGCCCTTTCTACGCCGCGCGAAGTCAACGGCCGGAGCCCCGGCACATGCTTGTCCTCTAGCTGCTTGTCCAGATCGCTTGGATCCGCTGAGGCGTGGGAGGCCCGTTCTTGAATACAGATGTCGCGTCAACTAGGTCCTGCACCCGCTGGCCCTTCGGGGTGTCGGCTTTGGACCATGTAAAACCACAGCCAATTGGATCACGCGGCCCTTCCGTCTCTGTTCATCTGCCGAGGACTGTCTGCACATTCTGGACATACTTCTCTCCTTGGCAGGCCCAATGATAGTGCACAGACTCCTCTGCAAGTGGGAAAACTGTAAGACGCGAACCCACGACACCTTTTGGAAACGGGAACCGCAGCGGGCCATCCAAGTACGCTCGCAGACTGGGCAGGGCCACCACCTCTGAGCGACTTGCTAGATCATGTCGCGTGCATACCAGGAAAACTGATGCGAAAGCTACAGTACCTGCTTGTGGAGCTGCGCAAGCATGGGATAGGGTGCCATGGAGTCTGACTTGATATTCAGTAGCCTCCAGGCAGAGCAGCGACAGGGGGGCACTGGAAACTCATCGCCACAGAAATGCTTTGCTTTGCTTTCCGGGCGACTCTTCCACGAGCTCGGCCAGCCTTGGAGGGCTCAGGGGCCCCTGGGCCCCAGCTGCTTCGTTTGGGAGTGGATTGTGTTTCGGACCCTCAATCTGCTGCTGTGGAACAGCACATCGGCGGCGCAAAGACCGGATTCTACGAAGCCCAGCGTACCATCCGCTCGCTTCTGCACCAGCGCCTCCAGGGGCTGGAGCTGCTTGGCGGTCCTTCCACCGAAACAAGAACTTCATTGCGAGATTTCTCGAATCTCAGAGGGTCCTGGCTGGAACTTCCGCAGCCAACATCTCCTGAGGAGAGCCGCCCAAAAAAACTCTCACGCCCGCAACTACAGCGCGGACCCAGCCTTCTCAGGCGTGAAGGGATAGCTCACCACGACGCCGCGGGCATCTTTGACTCCCTCGGCCACCATGTCAATGAGCGCAGCTTCCTCCGGCATGCTGCCCCAAAGCTTTCCTCGCTGTGCGACATAGCGCATCATCGCCTGGCTGAGGGGATGACCGGCAGGGGGCACTTGCAGCTGCAGCTGCAAGTCTCAGTATGATTCTGGATTACCAGCTTACCTGCGACTGTACCAGGCGCAGTCCATCGATCTCCAGCAGCGGGAGTTGTCCAAAGAGAAGCTTGCCTTCCTTTCTGAGATTTAAGAACTCCTGCAAGGTTCTGCAAAGCTCGCTCCAAAGGATACTCCAATTCAACAACTGGCAACAACAAAACACCATCTCCTCGTGATGCTGCAGAGCAACCTGCGGAAGTGGCTCTGGATTAAAGAGGTGTTGTTTCTTTTTCTTTCCCTGATCTCCCACCATCTCCAACTGTGATCGTGCCTGGCCTGCTCCCACTTGATGTTTGCGGCTGCCATCATCCAACGCGTCTGCTCTGCAAGGCCATAGCCCTCGAAGTAGCTCAAACGAACCTGGAGCTTAAGCTCTTTGCATGAGTTCTAGCCATTCTAGATTGCAGGCTATCTTCGGTGCTTCACAAGCAATTTCGGCAGCCTCAGGCATTGGAGGCGAGCAGAACCTCACCTTAAAGGATCTGGGAAGTGATCCAGAACACTAACCAGCGTCAGCATGCAGTGAGATATCCCAGCTATTGAGTACAACTCCAAACCTGACGAGGTGCCGTCCTTTGGCGAGACCCTTTGTACCAGCCGCCAACAAAAAGCAACTGCCCAGTGCACAGGCAAAGCGTCAAGGAGACCTGGCACCAACACCGTGTGGACATGACAAGTCCATCATAGTCGACGATAGAAGTACCAAACTTACAAGAATATGGCTTCGATTGAAGTTGCCCTCCATCCCGTGTATTCGTGTTTTAACTATTCCATGCGCAAAGCGAGCTAGGAGCGCAAACTGGCGTCCAACTGGCCGCGGTCTCCCCATACCGCGGAAGGTCCCTTGAGCCTTAGACGGCCTGCAGAGAAGCCCCTCCACAAATCGCACTGCTGTAGCAATCGTGGCGAAGCAAGCTTCTTGCTGTTGTAGGAGAGCTTAGGCGCCGTCAGACCGGATGTCGAAATTCGCCGGAAGATGAGCATCTGGAACCCTGCTTCGTTTTCTGCATTCGGCATAAGCAGGGGGCCTAGAGGGCGCACAGCAATGCCTCACGGGTGGACTTTTCAAGGATCCAAGAAAAAGATGTGCAGCTGTGCGGCCTCAGAGCACAAACAGTCAGACGAATCAGGTCTGTCACGTTCCAGAGTTCCAGACCCAGGCACCAAGGGCCAGACTGGGCAACGTGTGATACTCCGTCCCCGGAATTTCGCAAACCTTCGTCCCGTTGATGAACATCACCACGCCCTGATCAGGACCAGAGCAAATCGTCCTAGCATCGCCGCACCATTGCAGAGGGCCGAGGCGATGGCACCATCCGAGTGGTCCATTTTGCCCTTGGAGTCGCCTGCTCCACTGGCCTGCAGAGAGCTCGCGGCTCGCCGCCTGCAACCTGAAAGCGAAACCAGCGCCTTGAGCTTGACGTGAGTCCACTGGTGCAGCGGCAGTTCGTTCCTGATGTGAAGTTGCGAGAGATGCACGCAACAGCCCTCAAGCATCAAGGGATGAAAACCGGCGTAGTACTGCCAGGCCTGCACGCCTCTACACGGATCTACGGTACCGCGAGAGAAACTGAACACCTGTCGCGACAAACAGAACCGGAAGACTGGTTCATAATCACCTTCGCAAGCCTAATCATACCAGTGACAGTATTTTCCATCAGAGTGGCTCACTACCAAACGACCGTCGCAGTCGCCGCCGGGCCGTGCATTCAAGACTGCAGGCTCAGAAACTAAAGCTACAGCAAACAAAGTAGCAGAGGCACTCACGAAAGGAATCAGCATGATGGGAAGCACGGTAATCACATTGGTCTTGAGATTCATGTCGCAGGTTACTGCTTTATAAGACCATTTGCACACCAAGCGACGGAGCTTCGCAGTGCTGCAATTTGTTGTAGCTCCTTTACACAGGCCGCTCAAACCAAAGGAACGAAGACAACTCTTGTTGATTCCTATAATGTTCTCATTCCCAGTGCTGCGGATGTAGTCGATTTTTGCAGTTAGCACTGCTAATCTCACTTCGGCACAGGTGCGTGCCCCGCTTGTTGGAGCTACTGGGCTGTTAAACCCTAAACCGACAACACCCCCAGCACACACGCATACAACTGGAAAGCATCTGACCATTCATTCGACCCACGCACCCACCCATCCACCAACCCACACCCCCCCCCCCCCCCCCTGGTAAAACAAGCCTGGCCGAGCCGAAGACACTAGCCATACGGGCCCAGCCCGCAAGCCTAGGACATGCCAAAAAAAAAAAAAAGGTTCCCCCTAGGACACTGAAAAGAAGAAAAGCAATCTCTGCATCACCGGCTGCGAAGAATCCGAAAGACAAAACTAATTAAGCAACCAGGAGTAACCAGCTCCGCCTGAAACCTTGTGAGGAGTAACGACATGCTCCAACGATCCCTAAATCCTGAAGGCGAGCTGCTGTCGAGTGCACAGCCCTCAGCACGAGATAACCCCATGTGAATTGGCAAACCATCGAAGGACGCCGGAAATCGCACGCAGCGCCTCCTGTCCAATGTTTCGTTCTGCCCAACAGCATCCATGGTGATTTGAAGGTGCGTCCTGGCTGAGGTCACCAGGCTCATGTCATGAATCCGTGTCGTAAGTATTTGCACCGAGCCGGTCAAGCAGGGAGGAGCATGGGCACTTTGAGACTGCAAGCAGTCGCCGACTTTTGCACCGTACTCCAATCATGTTTGCAGATCTTCGGCCGCACGACTTAAGCCGCACGGCTCTGGCTTAGATTCTGCGACAAGACATTTCAATCACTTGGAGCCCGAAATGCTAATGAAAGCTTGACGGCGAGAGTCCGTTGATCAGCACACCGTTGGGCGATATGATTGATCTCCAAACATAATGCGTGAATATAGGAGCAGCAAGCATGACAGGCACACGTGCCGTTCGAGAAATATGCAAACGGTATACCTGCCAGGTGGCTCGATGTAGCTGAGTTAGCCAATCAAAGTGCCGATGAGGCATTCCCAAACTTGCCGTAGAAGCAGATCTCCACAACGCTGAACCGCTCCATCTATGTGCGTGTGTATATATATATATATACATGTGCAGATATTTACGTATACATTTGTATATAGTACATATATATATACATATATATATATATCATATATAATGTATAATGTATATGTATACCCATACATATACAGAGCGCTCTTGCATCCAAGCAGGACGTGGGGGGGCACGGTTCCCAACCTTGGGTTTTTTAGGGACTGCATGCATGCGGCATGCCTCTTGGAATGAGTCAGCTTTCGACTGAGGCCTGAACCTTACAGCAGTCTCCGTTTCCACTTCCATCAGTGATATGTAGAATGGATGTTCCACCTGTCACCGGGCCAAACTTCCTTCCGATGGCATTTACAGGCAATTGAAGCATCGTGCAGAGGCACACGTGTAAAGATCTGAACACGTCGAGCTCTCGGGATACTCGGCGGGCCGGGACCTCGTGTTGAAGGCGGGCTGAAGCTGAGAAAAAGCCTTCTTCTCAACTGAGTGTGGCTCGGCCGAAGCTCAAAGATCAGCTCAAAGTTGCTAAACCTCAGGAGGCTGCAGCAATCTCAGAAAGAACCAACCTACCGGAACCACCCAGGGCATCGGCGTATTGATCAAGAAATGACCAGGCGAAGGTGCGTCAGATCCAACGCTAACGGGATCGTCCGTAATGACCTCCAGGACGCCAAAGAGCAACGACCAGATGTTGTCTCGCATCTTGCAAAAGCAAAGATGAGCCCCGCCACCTGTTGCTCTTGTGACAGGTGATATAGGAAAATATCGAAAATGCCGCCGAAGCACATGGTGTACCTGGACGCAAGTCTAACACTTGTTAATGTTGGCTTGGATTTTGGATCTGCGCTGAAGCTGGGTCTTCAAGGGCGCAAAGTCATGTGCAAGAAGTTGCTCAAGTAGATGAGCCGCTCATTGCGCTTCCATGCTCTTTCTTGCCGCAACCTGGGGTCTTGCAGGCAAAAGTAGGTTCAACCCGCGTTCAACACGGCAAAACCAGGCACCCAACACACCAGCTTCATCCTCCAATTGGATGGAAGCTCGTACACGAAAAACATAAGCGGTCTTGAAAGCTTATGTCATGGTGTCTCCTGGGAGGGCGAGGTCGGCTCAGACGAAGCCGCATTCATGACCCGAAAGACCTGAGTGGTACTTGACTCGATCAAACCACATGCAGACGCCGATACCGACCGTCGCCAGGGTCAGCCGACGGCCGCGGCATCGACGCAAGCTCCGGCAATAAGGCACAGTAAATTAAGAATGTAGGGGATGCCGTGATCTGTCAATCTAAACGTACGGTGCTAGCACCTTGTGCAGATGTAGGTCTGTCTGGAGGCACGAATCGAGGATACATACACTAGTTCAAATTTTGCTTGTAGAATTCCGCGTGCATGTAGCTGAAGCTCGCAGCCACCAGAATGTACATTGAAACAAACCAACACGCAGGCAAGGCCCATCCAAGGCTCATCATGCACTGGCGCGGGTGATGCTGTGAAGAATAATCACTCGAACTGCACACGCGCTGTTTGAGCTTTTGCGTGAAAAACCTTGATCACCAACTTTTGCCAACAAGACTCTGCGATGTCGTGGAACCCGAAACTTGCCAACCCGGGGATCACCAATACACAACATGCATTCTCCGTCTCTAGGGCTGGAAGCTATTCGAGAAGTTTGCGAGCGAGGCGAGGGCCCGTGAGCTGTTCGGGAGCGCGCCGTCGGGCTCGGAAGCTGTTGAGGGAGCTGTTCGGGAGTCCGGTTCGGAATCAGCTTCAGCTTCTGGGTCGAGGATTTCGGGGTCACGGGGACGGGGGTTCAAGGGTCACGGCAAACTCAAGGTTCATGGTGCCACGCTGTCACGCCTCCGAACTCCAAACTTCCAACTCAGGGTCCCCGGGTCACCACGTCACGCTTCCGAGCTTTCAACTCAAAAGGGCCATGCCGTCATTGGGTCCCGGGGCCACGGGAAGGTCACGAAGGGGGCCTTGCTCCCACTCGACATGGGCTCACCGTGCGATGCGGTCACGGACGGCATCATGCCGACAAGTCAAGGCATTCTCACAGATTTCACGCAGGGCCGGAGCGCGCTTTCACGACTAGGCACGCACAAATCTCGACATGGACAAGGTTCTTGCGTCGTAGGATGCGCTTCTTTCTGATTAGTCACTGCTCTGCGCCGAGCACGCCTAGAGCCACTACTCTGCGGCGAGCAGGCATACCTTAGAAGCCCTTTAATTCTCAAAAGAAACAAATTTTAATGGCATTTTAGCCGGGGTCGGGCCCCCTGAGTGCTGATGCGAGGATGGTGTTTGTTTCGGGTTTGATGGGTTGCAAGATGGTTTGGCCGGGCGGGGCGCCGTGAATTCTGGGAGGTTGGGGGGTCCAGCGTGAATTCGTGAATCTGGGAGGCGGCGGGGCCCACACGAGAGCGTGATCGTGAATGTGGGAGGCGGGGCCCAGTGTGAAATTGTGAATCTGGTGATTTGGGCTCGAAAAGAGGCGAAAATGCACGACCCGGGGCGAGGATTCACAAATTCACAATTTTGCTTTCACGTTCAGGAGAGGGTTCTTTTGACTGGGTGAGTTCAACTGTTCAACATGCTCTGTTAGCCACTTCGCTTGTCTTCTTTCTGTTGCTCAATCAAAACAATCGTGACCTGTTTCGGCTCAGACACGCTTGCCCAGAACGCGCCTCAGCAGGCACCGTACTGGTCGGCAAAAGGGCAGAGCAAAGGCAAGTGCCCGTCTTGCTGTGACAATCATGCACAGCGACCTGGCTATGCACAGCCCCGCTGGGCAGATGTTTCAGATGACGCAACGGATGCCCAATGGGAGCAGCTGCACCGCAACGTTAAACCGCCCGACAGGAGCCAGGTGAAACCCCAGCCCTAACCGGCCGACGGGAGGCCAGAAACCCCTAACCGCCCGACAGGAGCCCAGGTGAAACGCTTGTCCGCCCGACAGGAGCCCAAGTGAAACCCTGAAGTGCCCGACAGGAGCCCAGATAAAACCCCAGCCGCCCGACAGGAACCCCAAACCGCCCACACGAGCCCAGGTGAAAGACAGGAGCCCTGGTGAAACCCCTAACCGCCCGAGGAGCTCAGGTGAAACCGCAAACCGCCCGACAAAACCCCAGCTAAAAACCCCGAATCGCCCGACAAGAACCTCAAACCGCCCGACAGTGCCTCAATCCTGCGGCCCGCTTCTGGGTTTCACCTGCCCTCCTGCGCCCTTCCTCCTGCGCGTTGCTTCTGGGTTTCATCTGCACTCCTGCGCCTCGCTTCTGGGTTTCACCTGCATGCCTTGCCGGGTTTCGCCTGCCTGCCCTCCTGCGCCCCGCTTCTGGGTGAACTGGTTTCCGGTTTCAGCTGCATGCTGCGTTCCTGCCTCGCTTCTGGGTTCCACCTGCCCTCCTGCGCCCCGCTTCTCCTGCGCCCCACTTCTGGGTTTCACCTGCCCTCCTGCACCCTCTTCTGGGTTTCATCTGCATTCCTGCCCCGCTGGGTTTCACCTGCCCTCCTGCGCCCCGCTTCTGGGTTTCACCTGCAGCTCGCTCTCATAGGGTCGGCAGTTCCCGGAGATCCAGCAGCTCGCTCTCATAGGGTGGAGCAGTTCACTGCATTCTGAGGCCTGCAACACCTTAGGAGTCTCCGATGGAGTCATCCATAACAGAATTTGCTGAGACGCATCTAGCTTGTGAGCTGTTGCCAACTGACATGACATTTGTCTTGAAAACCGTGCTGCCCCTGAAACCTGGTTGCCCATATGGGGTTAGGCGACAAAGGTTTGGTTTTGCAGAGTTTACGGGGTTCAAAATTTGTCGGGGTTTGAAGCGGAGTCATGCAAAGCGCTATATCCCGGACCGACTTCGCCCAACCCGGACGATCTTAACCCTAAACCCTAAACCCAAACCCTCTCAGCCCTAAACACATAAATCCCGAACAAACCCTAAACCCGAAATCCCAAACCCCTGTCAAGCCTAAACCCTAAACGCCAGACCTTTTTAACCCTAAACCCCAAATCCCGAAACCCAACCCGGACCTTTTTGACCCTAAACCCTAAAGAGCCCGGACCCTGTCAACCCAACCCGGGCCCTCTTGTCTCTAAACCCTACACTAAACCCCAGACCTTCTTGACTTGAAACCCGAAAACCCGGATCTAAACCTCAAACCCTTATGACCCTAAGCCCGAAACCCCAGACCTTCTTAACCTGAAACCCCAAACCCCGGACCCTTGACCCACCCTCTTAACTTCAAACACAAAACCTCAATCCATCCTCGCCCCAAGCCTTAAACTCCAGATCGTTTCAACCCTAAACCCTAAAAAGCCTGGACTCTGCGTACCCTAAACTCGAAACCCGGACCTTCTCAACCCTGAACTCTAAACGAGGAGTTTGGTCAGAGCAACCGAACCTTGCTGTGGCATCCTCCAAATTGCAAAGGAGTCGATATATTACATACAATTCAATTGCCACTTGCACGCTAGATCTGGTAATCTACACCCTAGAGCACACCTTCTCGGCCTTTCGGCTATGATCAAGTGTAGTATCTGTTCTTATCAGTGTGACAACTGATATGTCTCCAACTGGAGACTTGCTGTCAGATCTCTTTTTGCTGGGGAAATGTCAGATGGCTCAGAAGCCTTCACGTGTTGCGCTGGCATCGCACCAAGCCAGTGGCAGCAACACCCTACTGGATAATTATGCTCGAGAGGCGGTTGCTGCCAATTTTCTCATATTTAGTCTTGGTTTTTGCCAGCAAATGAATTCCAGCCACAAAATGGTTCCCCGGAGGATCCAGCTCAGGCATCCTTGCGGACGGGGCAATAGCGCCAGCAGTGATGCTTGGCGGAGATGAGTTTGCCAGTTGAAAACCACTCCAATTCCCATCAAGTTTGATCGTCAAGGTCATTTTTGCAATGTTTCAACTGGGTCCAACATTGCGCACTTACTATTGACTGGTCTTCTGCAGCAAGGTGTGCTGCTTCTTTAAGCAACCCTGCAAATGGTTTTGGCTGCCCCATGCATTTCGAAACCCGCTGCTTAGCTACTTGGATGCTGGAAACGTGTGCACGTCGAGAACATGGTGGAACTTTGAAGCTCCATCCATGAATGTCGGCGCTGTGCACTTCAGAAGCCGAAAGTTTCATGGCTGGTCATCACAGTGTTCACTTCATAGCGCACCCATCTTTCGCCTTTTGCTACAAGTTGCCGTGAATCAGGCCGTGAATGGGACGCATCAATGTCACTCACTCTGAACTCGAACAGAAAACCAAGTGCTGCCGGCGGAGCCAGGTCGGTCTCAGAAAGAAACTGAAGTCGAACTGCAAGGAAGACCCTGTAAAATCGTCGGACTGCTTGCACAGCCTACAAGAACCAAATCATGGCTTCCAAGAAACATGCAGGTTCTGCATGAACTTGCCTGGCTAAAGTGTTGGGCGGCAGGGCGGATCACTGCTCATGGCACGCAAGCAGGCAAAAACAAAAACTGACCATTCAAAACATCCGGACCCTCCCGGATGCTCAAGTCTGCACGCGAATGGCGCTCATGCACAGCATATGGAAAGTGCTTGCACAAGAGGGCAGAGCCTTCCACTTCGAAGCAGTTTGACTCTGGGATGTTCGAGAAGCAGCCTGCGGATTCCAGCGCTGGAAGCAGGGACACGGAATCAAAATGCCGCAAGAAAGCTCTAAAGATCTTGCACGGAATGCAGCACTTAGTGACGAGCTGAAAGCAAGGTGGAGTGCACTGGTATTCCGGTACCAAGCGGGTTGCACAAACTGCAACGCAGGGGACAAGTGCTGCGGGAGCTCATGCCAGCGCTCCGGCGGGATGCTGTAATTTGGCAGCCGGACTGAGAAGATCATGACAAAAAGAATGAAGCATGCTCTTCAAGACTGGAAACATGCTCTTCATAACTGGAAACAAGTTTGTAGCCCAAAAAGCCAGGCCAAAAAAGCGTGCAAAATCCTTCTCAGCAAGGCGGAGAAAAACGGATGAAGACCTTGTACCACACCCAAAAGTTTGAGGCATTCGAAGTTCCAGCTTTTCAGATAGCGGTATGCCCCTAACTTGCAAGAACATGCAAACCAAATCATGGCGTGATGCTCATCGCTGACATATCTTCAAAAAAACAACTTCATCCACAAAAGAGTTAACAGTTAGCCCGTGTGGGTAACTCTTGTCAAGATACGTACGTAAGATGCCGAGTCCAGCTTTGCCCATCGACTGCTTTGCCAAAGTTGCCCCGCAAGGACAAGTTTTGAGACAGACGAACGACGCTGACAGCAACCCAAAGCCTTGCAAACCCACTACGACTAACACCAAACGAGAAAAATGATTCGGCACACGAGCACCCGCACCTAACACTACGTGATTGGAAAGTGCAAAGCTTTCCACTTGTCGAGGAGCTGCGATTGTGTGTGTGCAACATTACAGAGCAAACACAGGGGAGGTCCCTTGTGGTGCACGTTTTTGGAAGGGATTTTCGGTTGAACATAGAACATGCATCCGTAAATCGGATAAAAGCTGAATGTGGAAAGAAACTCCAGGGACGTTGTTGAGCAAAGAAATGCTGCCAGCCGCCAATCCTTGGCCCTTGCGATACCCACGTGAGGAAAGCTGGGCCTGCGGTGCGCGTGGTGCGGATCCAGAGCTGCCGAGGCCGGCTGAGGTCACCACAATCGACCAGGTCCGAGCGGTGATAAGATTCTTCGAACGCAGACATGCAGAGCTGGACCCGTTGCGTTTTGTATCATTACTTCTTGTTCTCTCATTTATTTTCTTCGCAAAAACCCCATTAAGCGATTTCGTGTGGCTTCTTCTTCTTTTGTTTGTGCTTGCGTTTGAGTTTGTGGTTTCTGTCATTGTAGTGTGCTCTCAGTTCATTTTCTTCGCAAATCCTCCCACAAAGCGATTCTGTGTGGCTTCTTTTCCTTTTGATTGTTGGTGTTCGAACCCCCTTTCGAACTCTGGGAGGGAGTCTAGAACCCTGGGTTTGTTCGCGGCTTTAGCTTCTCGTAGGAGACTTCATACCCCTTCTGAAGCCCCGTTGAGAAGAAAGACTCCTCCTGATTGACAATCTTTTTCTTTGTTTGGTCTTTCTTTCGCAAAAACCGCACATAAAGCGGTTTCGTGTGGCTTCTTCTTCTTCTGTGGCAGGGACTGGTCATTGGCAGTCTTTTTCTTTGTTATCGGCAAGCTTCTAAAAACAGCGGGGGGTTGTGGGGCGCAGCCCCCCCCAAACGTGGAGTTCCCGAACCCAGAGTTCGAACGCCCCGGGGAGGGGGGGAGGAATTCCAGAACCCGAGGTTCCAACATAGAGTTCCCCAAACCCCGGGTTCCAACATAGAATTCCCGTGCAAACGCAGCACTTGTAAGTAGTGGAGCCTGGGGTCCCTGGGCCTTTCAGCAAGCGAAGCACGACCTCACCATGGGCTCACTTTTGGCTCTATGCGCAATCCCTTCCCTCGAGAGGTAAGTTGCGGTTCATCGAACTCAGCGAACATGGCCTGTCACGGCAAGAGAAAGGGCTGCTTTAGCACTCCTCTATATTTACAAGGCCTGTTCGCCAGGGCTCGTTGGCCTGTCCAGGCAGCTGGACGTCTTCGGGACTACGGCTTTCCACCAGCGTCACTGTGGGAGATGCCATCCATTCACGGAAGCTGTCGCGAAGCGCCTTGCTTCTTTTCGTCATCGCGTCTGCCACTTGTTGCTCAGTCGGGACCCAGCGCAAGTTGCGGCACTGCTGTCTCAAGGCCGCTATGCTGATCTCCACACGCTTCTCCTGAAAGCTCGTCGTCAAGCGATGCACTGCGTCCCATAGGCTTCGAGCATCCGTCATTGGCACCACGTTGATGAGGGGTGCCTTCATGGTGGCTTGATGTCCCGCTTCGAACATCTCGGACATCATGCACGCCAAGAAATTGCCGTAGTCCTCAGCTTTGTCCAACGAGGCTGCTTCAGCAGCCAAGGTGCTCCTTAGCACTCTCTGGTGCCTGTAGCTACGCCATTCCAGCAGGGATGCTGCTTGGGAACTTTCCAGGGCCGCCTTCGAAGTCGCGACCACAACAAGGCCTCCTTGGGACTTTCCCCCAGGAACGTTGCCAAAGCCGGGCCCGTAGGCCACGATCATGAGCTCGTCCAGCGGGATCGGGACCAGCCGGTAGCTCGCACCATTCGTCGCCTTCACGTAGCGGAGAACGGAGTTGATCTCGAGAAGGTCCTCCACCTTCAGCTCCTTGGGCGGCTTCTGCAACAACGACACGTCGGCCGAGATGTCTCCACGTGTCGTGCCTGACAGCCATTGCAGACTTCCAATTCCCGACCGGAACTCTGTCACTAGCTCCGGGTGCGAGCTCAGTGGCTCGGTTGGGTCCAGCTTCGTCTTTGTAACCTCGGAAACATGCTGGATTGATCAATTGTGACCGAGTAGTCCTCCTGCTGGCAAATTCGGCGTCCCACAAAGACAAAGTCACCTTGCCCCAAGTGAAGGAATCGTGCACCGCATTTACTGTAAGTGGTGTTCATGCCCCGGAAGAGCTGCCAAAATGAGGTCGTCAACGTGCAGCCCCAAGACCGCCGTAACTTGGTCCTTGTCCCCCACGCGCTCCACGAAGAGAACAGACAGGCCAAGCTGTGAGTCACCCAGCCCAGATCGTACAAAACCTTTCGCACATGGATGTACCATCGCCTCGGAGCGTTGACCTGTCCGTAGACAGGGCGCTGGAGCTTGTACAGCAGGCTGGGGTCCATCCACTCGGGCACGGCTTGCTTGCTCACTGGATCGGACGGTGGCCTCATGAATACACTGGTTGGGCGTTCGTCATCGGGAGCTCCTTGAAGGAAGGCGCTCTGGCAGTCACCGTTCCAGATCCTCTTTGTTAGTGCACGCCCATTGTAACAACGACATCAGACCCGCTCTGCTCAAGACGGGAGCGGCAAATGGGTCACGAAGCCCGCGACGACTGTCCTCGCCTTGGATTTGAAGTCTCCGCCGCCCTTAGGCTTCCAGCGAAAACAAACTCTTGACTTCAGGATCAGAGCCGGATCGATCTTGGAGACATCCAGATACACTGGCCGACATGATGACCACTTCTGCCACTCCGTCCACTCGTCCACTAGGGCCTGGACGAACTTCGGAACCTCCTCTTTGCTCATGGCTTGCCAGGGAAGCTCCTTCTTCAGGGCCTGCTTGTGGACACGAGACACAGACTCCTGTACCCCATCAGCTCCGTCCGAATTGGAGCTCTCCATGACGGCGGCTTTCACCTTCACCCGGGGTCTGCCAGCTCTGAAGCGGGTTCGCCATGAACCGGCTCATCCTCGGAGTACTCGACGCCGGGGTGCAAGCTGGTCCTCGTCCATAGTAGACCTGATGGAGGGCTTCTTGAGGAATCCCAGTCGTGAAGACGCCGTCGTAGATCAGGTTCGGCATCGCGACTGGAATAAGCCGTGATGGCATACTGGAGAGGCCACCTCTACACGGGTCTGTTTCGAGCAGTGTTTTTGATACCAAAAGTGGTGTTGCTGCGTGGAGGTCCTGTGTGACGGAACGCAGCGTGGAAGCCATTCGCCCAGCCTCTCTGAAGTCTGTTTCAGATGTGCTATGTGACATCAGGCCGCAGAAGCATTTCAGGACAAGTGCTTGCTTCGTGCCCTAGCAACCGCCAAGAAACGCTATCTAGTGTCATACTTTAGCGTTTAGGGCCCTTTCGCACACACATTTGCGGATGTTGCTGCTGTCGTACTAAACACAGCTATCAGAAGCCGAGGTGCGTGCGATAATGCTTGCTTCGTGCCCTGGGAACCGCCAAGAAACGGTATCTAGTGTCGTATTTTTGCATTTAGGGCTGTTTCGCACAAACATTTGCGGATGTTGCTGCTGTCGTACTAAACACAGCTATCAGAAGCCGGAGTGCCTGCGATTATGCTTGCTTCGTGCCCTGGAAACCGCCAGTATCTAGTGTCATATTTTTGCATGCTGTTGCGTACTTTGGTTGGTGTTTGCGTAGGAGTCATACGGTCTTGTACTGCTTCTAAACCTTTGCTGTCTTGTTTACATGTCAGAGAACGTGGGGAGGTTTTTTGGTTTACCACGGGTCATTGACGTTCTTGTTTGTGACTGGCTTGTTTTCTGTGGCAACTTCTTAGAGAGACTTTGTGTGTCTGACGCACGGCAGTTTGAGGCAGGAACAGGTCTGTGATGCTCTCAAATGTCTTGGGCTGCACGTGCGCTACACTGATGCGCTCAACGAGTTTGCAGTCTTGCCTGAGATGGCAAGTCCTCAGCTCGTGCTGATTACGTCCCTGCCATGTGTAAACTTCTTAGAGAGACTTTGTGTGTCTGACGCACGGCAGTTTGAGGCAGGAACAGGTCTGTGATGCTCTCAGATGTCTTGGGCTGCACGTGCGCTACACTGATGCGCTCAACGAGTTTTCAGTCTTGCCTGAGATGGCAAGTCCTCAGCTCGTGCTGATTACGTCCCTGCCATGTGTACACACCGCCCGTGGCTTATCGATTGAGTGGTCCGGTGAATCATTATTCGTATTGAGGTACTGCTCAGCTTCTGGACGTTGCACAAAGTTTCATGAACCCGATGTCGTAACAAGGTTTCCGTAGGAGACGGTGACTGCTTGCGAATGTGTTTTGCAAGTGGAAGCTATGGGCGACATCTTTGTACACACCGCCCATCGCTCCTGCCGATTGCTCAGCTTCCGGATGTTGCGTAGGACGTTTGTCATGAACCTAATCGACGAGTGGAGGTTCCTGCTTGAGTGATCCGGTGAATTATTTGGACAAGTGCTCAGCTCAGCTTCGTTGCGTACCAGGTTTCACGAAACCTTATCGCTGAGTGGAGGTTCCTGCCCTTTGTACACCTCGCCCGTCGCTCCTACCGGGAGTGCGCGGCTCAGCATTGGACGTTGCGCTGAAGTTGCCTCCACCTTGTAAGTGACCCGGTGAATTATTCGGACAAGTGCTCAGCTCAGCTTCGTTGCGTAGCAAGTTTCATGAAACCTTGTCGTTGAGTGGAGGTCCTGCCCTTTGTACGCTCGCTCCTACCGCTGGAGTGCACGGCTCAGTTTCGGGACATTGCGGTGGAAGTTTCCTCAACTGCTCATTTCAGGTCCTGCCCTTGTACACATTGCCCGTCGCTCCTACCGGAGTGCGCGGCTCAGCTCCTGGACGTTGCGCTAAACATTGCGCTGGAAGTTTCAACCACTGATTGGAGGTCCTGCCCTTTGTACACGTGGGTGCAGTGCGCGGCTGAGCACGTTGCGCCCTTTGTACACATTGCCCGTCGCTCCTGCCGCAAACCCCAAGCAACATGCCGACGATGCTTATGCAACTGCCTAAACGGATCATTCTCCGCATTTCGGTGTTTCTTCTATAGGTTTTTGTATTAGGAACAAAGCCAAACCCCAAAAAACAAGCCAAACCAATTTTGAGAGTGGTGCGACGGTCCTCAAAGCAATATGGATGCTCACGTGACGGCCTTGAACGGCTCAATTTTCGTATTTCGGTGTTTTTCCTTTGGCTTTTTGTATTGCGAACGAAGCCAAACCCCAAAAAACAAGCCAAACCAATTTTGAGAGTGGTGCGACGGTCCTCGAAGCAATATCGATGCTCATGCAACGGCCTTGAACGGCTCAATTTTCGTATTTCGGTGTTTCTTCTATAGGTTTTTGTATTACGAACGAAGCTAAACCCAAAAAACAAGCCAAACCAATTTTGAGAGTGGTGCGACGGTCTCAAAAGCAATCTCGATGCTCATGTAACGGCCTTGAACGGCTCAATTTTCGTATTTCGGTGTTTTTCCTGTGGCCTGCAACGAAACACTTGTTAAACACTGGAGAAAACAGCCCAAAAGAAGAAGAATTTGCCTAAACGGCTCTTGAGACAATTTTCCAAATGCAGTGGTACGGAATGTACGGCTTTTGAATCGTGGTCTAATGAACTGCAAAACTGCTGCGAAACACTTGTTAATCACTGGAAAAATCAGCCCAAAAGAAGAAGAATTTGCCTCAAAGGCTCTTGAGACAATTTTCCAAATGCAGTGGTACGGAATGTACGGCCTTTTAATCGTGGCATACTGAAATGCAAAACTGCCGCGGAACACTTGTTAATCACTGGAAAAATCAGCCCAAAAGAAGAAGAATTTGCCTCAAATGCTCTTGAGACAATTTTCCAAATGCAGTGGTACGGAATGTACGGCCTTTGAATCGTGGCCTAATGAAATGCAAAACTGCCGCGGAACACTTGTTAAACGCTGGAGAAGACATCCCAAAAGAAAAAGAATTTGCCTAAAAGGCTTTAGAGACAATTTTCCAAATGCAGTGGTACGGAATGTACGGCCTTTTAATCGTGGCCTAATGAAATGCAAAACTGCCGCGGAACACTTGTTAAACGCTGGAGAAAACAGCCCAAAAGAAGAAGAATTTGCTTAAAAGGCTTCAGAGACATTTTCCAAATGCAGTGGTACGGAATGTACTGCTTTTGAATCGTCGGCTAATGAAATGCAGAACTGCCGCGAAACACTTGTTAAACACTGGAAAAAATGGCCCAAAAGAAGAAGAATTTGCTTAACAGGCTTTACAGACAATTTTCCAAATGCACTGGTAGGGAATGTGCGGCTTTTGAATCGTCGGCTAATGAAATGCAAAACTGCCGCGAAACACTTGTTAAACACTGGAAAAAATGGCCCAAAAGAAGAAGAATGTGCTTAACAGGCTTTACAGACAATTTTCCAAATGCACTGGTAGGGAAGGTGCGGCTTTTGAATCGTCGGCTAATGAAATGCAAAACTGCCGCGAAACACTTGTTAAACACTGGAAAAAATAGTCCAAAAGAAGAAGAATGTGCTTAAGAGGCTTTACAGACAATTTTCCAAATGCACTGGTAGGGAAGGTGCGTGGTGCCTGAAATGAGTGCGGTGAGTGAGGTGTGTGAGTGGGGTGAGTGGGTGAGCGAGTGAGTGAGTGAGCGAGTGAGGGAGAGAGTGAGTGACTGCGAGCAGCTAATGCTTCGTACTTTTGGGTCCAATCATTCCAAAATCGTGCAAATTGCAGGAGAGACAAGCCAGCGTCTGGCGTGTAGTACCTAATGCTTCGTACTTTTTGGGCCCAATCATTCCAAAATCGTGCAAGTTGCAGGAGAAACAAGCCAGCATGTGGCGTGTAGTGCCTAATGCTTCGTACTTTTGGGCCCAATCATTCCAAAATCGTGCAAATTGCAGGAGAAACAAGCCAGCGTGTAGCGTGTAGTACCTGTTTTTGTGCAACAAATATCTTCACTTAATGACTCTAATGACGAAGACAGCCGGTGGCCAAATTGGGAGTTTTCCCACAGCGCGGAGCGTGTAGTAGGGTACTACACCCTAATGCTTCGTATTTTTGGGCCTAATCACTCCAAAATCGTGCAATTTGCAGTAGAAACAAGCCAGCGTGTGGCATCTAGGACCTCTTGTTGCGCAACAATCATTGTAATTTCCTGATTCTCATGACGAAGACAGCCGGTGGCCAAATTGGGTGTTTTCCCACAGCGCGGAGCGTGTAGCAGGGTGCTACACCCGCTCTTGTAGCGTGCGCAGAATCACAGAATCGTACGCGTGTACTGGCTACTGCTTCGTACTTTTGGGCCCAATCACTCCAAAATCGTGCAAATTGCAAGAGAAACAAGCCAGCACGTAGCCGGCCAGATTGCCAGTTGCCCGCTGCGCGCAGCGCCTGGTGGGGTACTCCGTGCGGAATCGCTTTTACCCACAATTCGGAGCATCACTCCCTCCTTCTCTTAACGCATGTGCACCTCTCTAGAGCACGATGGCAGCGCGTTGCCAGAAAGTTTCATGTAAAACCTTTGACGCAAGTTTTTACATGATATTGTCATGCAGGAGATTTCATGACGGAAGCTTGAATGGATTGCAACCAGTTGTGGAATCTATGCGACGCACTGCGGTCTTGAGTGCTCAGCAGTGAAATGTGGTCGTGCATGGGGCTTTCGTGTCGCTTCTCCAAGGCCCTCCGATTCTGCTGAAGAAGGCCGGTTTTGCGCAAGTTCTAGGGAGTGAGGGAAGCAGTGGTTCGACACTGAAGAGGTTTGGCGCTTGGTGTTCAAGAGCTCCGCTGGTCAGGGGTAGACCATAGGAGCTGAGGGTTCAAGCAACCGTGCTTTGCATGCACTAAGAACTTACAGCTGTGCGAGTTGACAACAAGAGTTTGGAAAGCACAACAACCATTTTACAGAGCCGCCGGGCCAGGCGTGTTAGTAAAGCTTTTGTTTCCGAACATGCGTGCCGGATGGGTGGCTTTCCGGATGGGTGCAGGGGTGAGACACCCGATCTATGAAGCGCCGAAGACTCAAAAGTAAATGTCCTGCAGAATCACTGCGCGTCAGAGCTTTGCCAAGTGAGACCGCGGAAGCGCAGACGGAGACGGCTGAGCTGCAAAGTGAGAGTGCGGAGCCGG